AAACCGGTTTAAGTCGATTTTGACTATTGACCAGTTTTAGTGAATATCACGGAATCGAAGGGAGATAGCTAAATTTTTGTCAAAACCCTTTTTGTAGCACTCAATTTGCTCTAGAAAAAAGGTTATTACGAAAATTTCATTATCTCCTTTAAATTCGGAGATATTCTTCAAAAACTCAACTAGGAAATTTTTTTGAAAATCACAGAAATCAAAATAACGATTATTGCTATCGCTTGCATTTTCGAACTCGGTCAAAAGGACATTCCAACGAATTTTTTAACCCGTCATTCAATGAATTTAGAACATTCTTTTTTAGTTATCGTGTTGCAACTGAATTTTGAAAAAATTCGAAAATTAAAAAAATTAATCAATGAATTGAATTTTAATTAGTGGCGATAAGGTTTAGTAATACCTACATTTGAGAAAATAATGATTCAGACACATACATACATACGAACGCACGGACGCCGTCTCCCGTTTTACCCCTCCTTTTTCAATTGACTCTATAAATTCCCTTGATATTACGAATATCTTCTTGTCCCACCCCCACAAATTGATTACAGATCGAAAGGCAAAGCACAGTCAACCAGAAGTGGTGCTTTCCGTGGCCAGTGTGTTTGCTTCCCTTCCATTCTCTCCCCAACTGTCTTCCCTTCACCGATGCATAAATCTATAATAACTGTTTACACTCTTATTTCCCTATTTCTCCACTTGACCTCACCGCAACCCGCCAACAATTCCAATCCAATCCCCTTTACTTCATTCATTTCCATTAGTTTTCACGTCACGGTTTGATAATCGCGCGAAGGAAATCCATGACATGAAATGTCAACTGGAGAAAAATCATTTCAACATGTACTGGAGTGATTGCTGGTTTATGCAGTGTCGCAAGGACTGTAGTAACATTTTAATGGATCAACATCTCTTAAGAATCATTCTCCCACGCTAATGATGTTGTAACAATAAATTTCAATGCGGGAATTCATTCGTGCAATATGTTATTCAGAAAGAGGCGAGAATAACTTGAAAATCCCTTCCATTTGGTGATATAATGCTACGAGACATTTTTTCGTTTGTACACAAAAAAAAAAATTACTTTTGATCAGTAGCAAAAGTACTTGTACCCAGTACCAAGGGGTTTCTGGCGAAAGGCACATTTTTGTACTTCCTCGAAGTTACAAAACAACTTGATGCAAGTATCATGCGTCAAGTACCTGTGCACTGGTGAGAAGTACCTCAGTACTTGTCACAAGTATTTTGTTACTTGGGACAAGTAAAAAAATTATTTGTAGTGAGTACCTGGCTGGTACTTTTCAAAAGTACCGAATAAACTCAATATAAGTTGAGTATAAGAACTCAAAAATGTTTTTCTACCTCTTCTAAAAACCGAATTCCGTAAAAAATTCAAAAATCCAAATAATTCCCGTTTTGTGAGTAATAAAATTGAAAAGAAATTAAAAATAATTTTTCGAAGCCTTTTAAATGTTGATAACAACATAAAACATGAAAATCTCAATAAAATTTAAGCATACCAATAATTCTCGAAAGCATCCATAAAAATCGCAATCTATTGATTTTGTCCTACAAAATATCTTCCGCTGAACATTTCTATTTACAAAAATGCGTAAGAAAGCCCATTCTATCCGGTAATAATATTCACTTTTTTCAATAAAGTAATCAATTGGAAGTACTGAAATTAAGTCCTAAAAGTACTTGAGAGAAGTTGAAAAATTACTTTTCACTAGTACCTTTGGTACTTGTGAAAAGTACTAAAAGTACTGGCAGTAAGTAGCGATACTACTTCCTCCCCAGTACCATTTCTACTCGATCGGCAGATGTGGTACTTCACCCAAGGACACAAAATATACTTGGGACGAGTATTTTTAGAACTTTTCAAAAGTGAACTTCCCCCAAGTACCGGTTTGTACTGGTGAGAAGTAATTTCTTTTTGGGTGTAAAAATAGTATATTTCGTTACGAGTGCGGAAAAGTGTTTTTTGGCTCGTGGGAGGTTTATAGCACGAGCCGAAGGCGAGCAAAAAACATTTTTCCCACGAGTATCGAACAATATTTTTCATCACAATGTGTGGAAAAGGGACGTTTTAGGCACGCGAAGCGTGCCTAAGTTACTTTTTCGCACAGCGTGATGAAAAATTTGTTTTGTTCGTTTGTGCACTTCTTCAAGGCTATAAAAATGGCCGTAGAGTAGATTTTCAATAAATTTCAGGGGTGGAAGTACCATCTGAATCACAGCAAAACAAATTCTGATGCTTTCAAACGTCTAACGTCTCTCGAATTGTATAAAAGAATCGTTCAGTCCTCAACTGGCATGTTACCTACAATTCTGCTCCCCTAATGATCATCTTAATCGGACAATTTTCCTCCTTGCGTTTTTTTGATCCCAGATACCTACACCATGTATATCCCAATGTTTTACCGAAGGACGAGGGGGGGCAGAAGGCAGTGGAGCCGGCTGTTCCGTCATTTGTTTCAAACTCTTCTCACTCATTTTTCATACGTTTACCTCGGCTGTTCCTCCATCTCCCTTCCACCACCACGCCCCGACTGGCCTTGGGCACTGAACGTAACCCGAAGTAAAACCCGTGGGCCTCCACTTTCCGTCCTTTGTTCCATCGCAAGTTTTCTCTTGTATATAACCCCGAGTCGAGGCAAAAGCGCGCACGAGGGAGAAAACAAAAGACAAATTACTGAGACGGCCATCATGTGACCCTTACCACCTGTCTATATTCTTCGAGACGAGGAGAGGAACGGACTAAACAACGTGCTATGGAGAGGAAATTGAGGAAAAAATTGGGAAAAGAAAGATATACCTTTGGCTGTGGTCGCGTGTGGAATTATCAGCCTTGGTCCGGCTCCATTCTGTTATACCGCCTTCATTTCTCTTCGCGTTTTTTTAATAAAAAACTAGCCAGCCTCCTTTCTCTGGCCTCCTTCAATTTTTTGTTGAGAAAAAAAATCAGAAGGTATTATTCAGTGTCTACAGGTGCCCAATTCCAACTATTCCGTGAAATTTCACTGAGATTCTTCAAGGATATGATCATCACCGTGCAGATAAATTCGATTACTGAGGCAATTGCATGTTTTCGTCTCTGGAAAACCCCTGACACATGATTGGGCCCTTCTCCCACCGCCTCACCAGGGCCTAGTCAGTCCCACACTAGGGCCCCACATTCTGCGCACCGCCGATAACCCAGAAATTCCTGTTATCAGTCGAAATTAGTGGGCCTTTTTTGGGAAAAAAATCTGCCCAAGGCGGGGATCGAACCCGCGATCCTCAGCGTGACAGACAGCAACACTACCACTGAGCCAACTCGCCCGACTGAAATCTCCCTAAAACGGGTTGTATAAACAATAGACGGCGTTGAGAAAACTTTTGTGTCAAGATTTTTGACCCGGGAATGCCGAGTAATACATGTAATTCCCACTTAAACCTCAACAGAAATACAAAAGCCGCCGGCCGTCGCTCTCCTGACGTCAGCTTGCCACTCCCTGATGACTGACAACCTGTCCCGAAATAATATCCACGCGTCTGTCACTCTGATACTCACTTCTTTATCCCTCTCATTCTCCCGTCCTTACACTCGACAATTGTTATTTCCGCACTTTTTGTCACCGACGCTTAGTTTTATTTCTGTTACAGTTATTTTTAATGTTTCGCGCGAGTCTGTCGGAGGTTCAACAAAAACACGTAAGTTTTGAAATTCTGAATTGATGTCGCGTCTCGGAGATACCGAAGTATTCCGTAAACTCAAAAAACGCGGCAACGGAGGGTAGACGCGGGAGAGGTTAAGAACACTTTGGCTATTTTCAAGCTCGTTATCTATTTCATGTTGCACGCGATCCTGTCTGTCTCTCGTGAGAAGCGTCTTGACAGTTCGTCATCCTCGTGACAGTATGGGGAATAACAGAGAATAAATTTCTCGTAAAAATCGTTAACAAAATGGACAAAAAGAGAATATCATGGCGGAAAAATATTCGCGGTTTATTTTCCGCGCATTATGACCGGTGAGAGTCGCGTAATATCGGAAATGCCGAAACGCAATGGTGACTCAATAGGCGTGGATCCGCTTTGATTGACAAGTTCGTCCAGCCAATCGAAAACGCGAAACGCTGATGAGGCTCATGTCAATCACGCAAATACTTTCTCCACCTCAAGCCACCCCTGTTCCACCCTCCGGCAGTTCGATTCGTCCGCTCAGATACCCCGATGGTTTTTTTTTCTCTTCAGTTTCCCACTCTTTTTTTTTCAACGCATCTCCAGGGTCCTGCTCCCACCCTCGACTTCCCGTTTATGTATGTACGCGTTTTCAAGCCACCCTTACATCCGCTCACACGCCATGGGGTAGTTTAGCATCTCCACTTCGCTACCCTCAAGTCACCGAGCGCAACAAACCGAAATGCATGAAAAAATTACCCGTTGAGAAGACAACCGCGGGGGCAAACAAACTTGATTGATGATTAAGATGACATTGATTTCAATATGACGCTTGGAATTTCATGAATAATGAAAAATTTCTATTGAATAAATTTTTCAGCAACAACATTCATCCCACAAAGCTATCGCTCGAGAAATTAATAGCCCTCACGTGAAGTGAATCAAAACCTTGTTGACACCATCCCTTAGTCCAGAGTTTCAATATTACAGCAAACTCATCTTATAACCCCGAGATAATTCTCGTATCTTCAATACTCCCCTCGTTATCACGAGACAAGTTTCTTACTAGGTAACAATTAGCTGATGCTAATCACGCGATGCCACCGTGGATTTCTCCAAGCCCTTGAGGAATCCTAACGTTCTTGTTCCCGAGATTCTGATGCTCCTGGTTCCGAGTATCCCCGTATCCTCGGCGTTAATTAAACTACCATCCAACCAACCGCCCTAACATAATCGACTAGAAACATTGTTTTGCGATCAATACCCTAGGAAAAAAGTAATTTCCAAGTTGTCTCACGTTTTCCCCTCGGAATATTCTGTTGCAGAAAATGGCCTGCCCAGGAGATTACGTACCGCCTACACAAATACCCAGTTACTCGAGTTGGAGAAGGAGTTTCACTTCAACAAGTACCTATGTCGACCGAGGAGAATTGAAATAGCGGCGTCCCTGGATCTAACGGAAAGGCAGGTGAGGGTTCAAAAAATATAGCTCCATCCCCATGATAGTGATGCCGCGAGACATTTCAACGAGACAACACGAGACAAAACTTTGGAGAGATGATCTCGGTCTCAATGAACGTGGAAATCTTCGTCTGTCTCGAAATACGCAGTATCAACTGCTCTCGTGATGACTCTGAGTCAATTTATGCCATCTGGGTTTCCAGTTTTTGGCGTTTTCAATATTCAGAAAACCCAGACGAGACAAACCGCGACACAAACCGAGATTTTACATTGCAAACTATAAAAACTTGAGACCGAGATGAGATAAATTGACTCGGAGTCATCACGAGAGGGTTCGATATTGCGTATTTGGAGACTGATATGAGAGCAAAGATGTTCATCGAGACCGAGATCATCTCCCCAAAGTTCTGTCTCGTAAAGTGTCTCGCGGCACCACTACCCGACGACTTAATCTCAATTCTAATTTGGCGTTTGACACCGATAGGTGAAAGTATGGTTTCAAAATCGTCGGATGAAGCACAAGAGACAAACACTGAGCAAGGAGGACGGTGATGATAAAGACGGAGGATCGTCGGACGGTGTGGATAAGCCCAAAGGGGAGAACATGCTGATTGACGAGGACGAGAAGAAGAGTTGCCACAACTGTGATATTTCCGGAGTTACTGACGTCGGTAGCACTCTCAGCGAGGTGACAGACCTCGGTGCATCGCGAGTCGGTAGCAATAATAATACACCAAGTGCAACCAACAACAATAACAATGGATCAAACGTAGGATTTAATACGAATAGTAATGGTGCTAGTAGTGTTGGCAGTACGAACAGTGTGTCGAGCTCTTTCGAGAAGATAATGGCTGATGAGGACTCGAGATCTAACGACGGTAGCGACGTGACATCGCCAAGCATACCGACCAAGAAGATGAGCGAGGTGCGGATCAAAGTGGAGGGTGGCCACAAGAGTCCAAATCCCACCAAGCACCCGGTGAATGTCTGCAAGAAATCGCCGTCATCTAGCACCAAGGAAATGTGTACAGTGACGAGCAATGGTGTCCTCCTAGCGATGCCAGATTCGACGGTCAGCACACCGGCCCTGCCGAGTCAAGGATCTAGGAGTTTAACCCCCTCTTCAACCCCCGGAACTCCAGTATCCGTGCAACTTCAGCAGGGAAGCCCATTGAATGTACAAAGCACCCACGGCCCCTACATGCAGCGGCCAAGGAGCTCCCCGTCATCCACCAGTTCCGGCGCTATTCTACACGCCACCTCAAACCCAACTACCATGCCACCTCACGTAGCGCGGAGTATCCCCGCAAATCCGCAGGGGCATTTTCCACCTCAGCAGAATTTGTATCAACCACCTGCTGGTGATTACAGAAACGGAATGCCCATGAACAGACAAAACGTTCCACCAACGAATCCTCAGAACACTTACTGCAATCGAGATACGTATCAACAGCGCGTGACGTATCCACCAGATATGCACTCGATGTATAGACAGAACCCGGCGATAGCCACGCGAGTTGGTCATCATGGGAGAACGGGATCAACGACCCGGCCGGTTTACAATCCGTCCATGCAGTTCCACCAGCAGCAGCAGTCGCAGTACCCCAGCACGGGGGAGTACAATGGTTATCCTCAGGGTGGTGCGTCGTATCACGGCAGCTACCAGCGAAACATGCACCCGGCGGGAAGCGCTTATCCGAGTCAAGCTTACCCGAACTCCCAGACTGATCCGTCGACGGAGGGCTACATGACCGGAAGTTACGGATATCCAACTGGACCATATCATGGGGACAACATAGGTTCCCACAGCCACACGGCTGTCCCCGTCCAATCCAGCCAACATTACTACCCCGAAATGCAGCATCAGACGCAACAGCAGCATGCGGCTGAAGGCTACGCTTCCATCCATCCCAACCAGAACGATTACAGGGGGAGCAAGTGTCATCCGAACACCTACTACGAGCAGTCGCAGCTGCACGTACATCAAGGAGGTGAAGCCTCCAGCATCCCAAATAGCTATGTCTCCTCGCCAGATCCCTTTCCTGTCCCCGGCATGACCACCACGGCGACGGCAATCGCCGCGGCAACAGCCGCCGTTATCACTCCGCCGGACAGCACCGGTCAGGCGGAGACGAACAACGAAAACTACGGCAACTTTGGGGGCTTCTACGGTGAACTTGTTCACGCCACTGCGCCAACACCGTCTGCCGATAACAGCAACAGCTCGTCGGACTTTAATTTCCTTAGTAATCTCGCCAATGATTTTGCACCGGAGTACTATCAGCTCAGTTGAGTCCACGAAGCTGAAAATCCGGGCCAGCTGGACTGGAATGAGGAGCAGTATATGCTCAACGAACTTTACTGATTTCAATCGGGGGGCTGTAATTATTAGCCATGTCGGGAGGGAGGAAGAGGCAGACGAGGCGAGAGGACATTTTTCTTTTGTAGATGAGGAGCAAGACGAGACAAGGGGATCTCGAACAAGAGACGAAAGAGAGCGGAAGAAAATTTCGGGAAGATTACGATTCCTTTGGCGCCGTTATTTGACATTTTCCGCGCCAGTTTTCCTCGGGAATACGGGAAAAGTAAAGAAAAAATTCCCTCTCAATTAGGTTTTCGGATATAAGAATTTCAATCGTTATTTTCCAAGAGACGAACATTTTCGTGAAGCTTCGTTTAGGTTCTTGACATACCAATTCATGCACTCACGTTTGAATTCAATGATTATATTTGGAACATCAAAACAACAAAACTCAATTTTAATGAAAATTTTTTTGTTGGAGATGTTTTTAATTGATTTTTTTTTCTGAAAAAATTGCAACAATAATCGCCAAAATTCAGTCAACAAAGTCTACGATAAAAGAGTTTTCAGTCAAAAACGCATTTAACGGATGCCGTGTCACCCTTGTGACCCTCGCTACCCTAGCAAATTCTTTTTTTATGTGACCCTTGCGACTTCGTGACCTTGGTGAGTCCTTTTTTGTGACCCTTGTGACCCTTGTGACCTTACGTTAAGTTGGGAGAGTACCTGATGCATAATCGGAAGGTCCCGGGTTCAAATCTCAGTCTGGACAAAAATATTATGAGTCCTTGATGAATCATTATTGTTCAAAACACTTTCATTTTTGTTGACTTAATTTTAATAAGAGAATACAAGAGAAGAAACGATTTTGTGATTCTTGCCTCGTCTTGTCTTGTGGCATCACTAGTAATTACTGCACGGAGAAAAATATTCAGTAAAAATCACGGAACAATTCACGTAATTCGCAATGGGGAATCGTTTTCCGGCAATTTTTGTAGGAATGGAAGAGAAGAAATGTGGAACGTTCAGTGAATTTTCAGGTTCATCACCGAAAAAAGTACGACATTCTCACGTCATTTTTCCCGAAGAAGTAAAATCTTACAGAAACTTGCCGACTTATTATGCCTCAAAAATCAAAAATTCTTGAACGTTCGACAATTTTTATGAAGCTGGTAAGTTATTTCTATGTTCCGTTCCGTAAAATTTCTCAATCGTTGGGGAAAAATTACGGAACGACTTGTTGTCCCCACAGCGGTGAGTCATCAGACGACTGATTTATTTTTACGGAACAAATCGTAGAATTTACGTGGCGATTCGTACAATTTCAATTCCAACTCACACTTTTTATTGAATTTTACTTCGCTCGCGGATTACGTTTCGAAACGTAATTTTCCCGTTTTTTTCTGGTAATTTTCATTGAATTTTTCTCTCCGTGTGAAAATGGGTGTCTCTGATTGGTTCATGAGGACAAATCAGCAGTTCTCTGTTTCATGAACTTTATGAACATTGATCGTAATTTAAGTGCAATCTCGAAATCTTCGGTATGACAGTGACTGTGAAATATGTAAATTTAGAATAGTGAAAAATTATTGGCATAGATAACGATAAAATGTCATTGTGCATAGAGTGTGAGTCTGAATGTTGATTTGAAAAATTTGCAAGTGGCGATAAATGAATGTGGAGTGACTGTGCCAGGGGATTTGTTAGATAGTGTACAAAGGATGAATATACATATGCCCGAATGCCGTTAGTTGTTAAACTGCCCGATGAAAACTCGTCAACTAGTGAAATACGAGAGCAAAAGGCAAGACTTGTACTGTATATTACCTCTTAAATTTTTGTTTTAAACAATCCTATTGCATTCATATATATTTTCATTGTTTTTTATTTTCGATGGAAAAGCGAAAGAACCAAATGAAAATTCATTATTTACTGTTGGCTAGTTAAATTTCTCTGTACATAAACTTGTTCCATGAACTGATTATTTCGTACAATATGCGCTTTAAAACATCTCATTGATCATGATGAAAAATTGTAGAGGCGATACCAGAGGCGTCGCACACTCAGAATAACGTCGCACGTGTAAAATTTCGTTAAAGTAACACAAAAACATGTCAAATACAAGATTATAGAGAAACATGAGCTCCACTTGTTCTACATTCATTTCCCGAGCTAATATTTTTCTTACATTTTAGCGTGCATCAAGGGTTAATTACGTATCGATTTTCCGACGTGAACTAAAAAAAATATCTCAACGTTGAACGATCAAGTGAGATGAGTGAACATAAGCGTGACTGGGGACTCGAGTTAATATCAGCGTGACGACAAATCTAGGAAGCTGAACACTTTAGGCTTCTTATATTTCATCGGACGGGAAAACCCCGAGTTGAGAGAGACACATGGATGCAGAGGGGGTTGACACACATGTACGGATATTGTGTTGGTACACTGGGTGAGGAATTTTTGACAATGATGGATGACTGCGCATGATGCGCGTGAGTCAGGCCCATACGATGCCACGATCCGACCTCATATGTGGCCTTCGTGCCGACGACCGCAGCGTCCGAACTGTTGCTATTGCATCTGCGTTGGCTATTCTCAACCCCTGAATATCAGTATCATCACCCGAATGACTAGGGTCGCGACGTGACGGCACGTCAGGTGATTTTTTTCCCTGATTTCACGACGTTTTTTTTACTAAACTAGGAGAGGAGACACGCGTGAATTGGCTAGGGGTTTATGCAAATTATTTGCGATCGTTGGGTATTTATTTATTCATTAACACTAGTCTGGTGACCAGACTACCTCGGCGGGGATTCCCCGGCGTGTTATTCAGGCTTCAGCGTTGCCGAATTCACTCTACGCGGCCCGAGCGCGTTTCGCGAGTTTCCGGCAACGTCGCGTCTTGGGAGATTTCAGTTAACGCGGGAAAAAATAATTTATCTGTCAGAAATAATTTGTTTTCTTCAGGAATTTCGGGAAATATGTTGTTCTGAAAACTGCTATAATTTTTTAGACACTTCAATTGACAGTCAAATTTCCTTGAATTTTCTCGAAATGACGCCGCAACAGTCATGAGACATCACGAGACAACACTTTGGAGAGATGATCTCGCTCTCAATGAGCATGGAAATCTTTGCTCTCGTCTCAGTCTCAAAATACGCAGTATGGACTCCTCTCGTGACGACTCCGAGTCGAGAATTTATTTTATCCTTCATATGCATAAAAACCGATACGAGACAAACCGAGACAAAAACCGAGATTTTACATTGAGACTTGAGACCGAGATGAGATAAATTGACTCGGAGTCACCACGAGAGGAGTTGACACTCTGCATTTCGAGACTGGGAAATAATTTCCAGTTCATTGAGACCAAGATCGTCTCTCCAAAGATTTGTCTCGTAAATTGTCTCGCGGCATCACTAAATACTCTTCAGACTTTAATTATTATCAATAATTCTCGATCGATTACATCAATCTCTTCATGCCCTGAAATTCTGAAAAATTCTATATGAAGTGGTGCCCAGTCAGCGGTATATAATTCTTATCGGATAATGTAGTATCCCCGACGGTACTTTCGGGTCGGCTCGCGGTCCGCGAGGAGTCAAGGGTTAGCCACCCTCTGCCCGGCGAGCGAATGAGAGAGAGAGCAACCGAAGGCGCGGACGCAAAGACCATAAATCTCACGATCGTCGGGGGACGACTACTTCCCGACCATGCAGCCCTCTCCCACGACATCACTTCTCGCATCCTCTTTCCCACCATTCTCTCCTCATACTTATGAAAAAAAGGGACAAGAATCACAGTAATATTTGAGTTAAATCTCAACGTATTCATTTTATAATTTCTCACTTGATTTTTTTTTTCATGCATTATTTATGCTTTTTGTTTTGGGGCTTAATACGGAACAGGTGAAGTCCAAGATGAAACTCAGTGGGACTTTAATTAAAAGGCCAAAGGATTTTTTCCCCCTCCTCTCTCTCTCACTCTCTATTACTCTTTTTGTTTAGATTTTGAATTTCATGATGAAGAGCATTGGAATTGCACAGACACGGTGAGCTCGTTCTTATTTCAAACTTATTCGTGCCGCCAAGAGAAATGCTGTTTACGGTTAAACGTTAACAAATGTAGATAGAGGTCTCGGGGACGCGTGAAGAGGACAGGTAAAGGCGTTCTCTCGCTGTGAGCATCAGTAAGTAAATGGAATAGAGGGGGATATAAAGTGAGAAAGGGGAAGAGTATCTCGGTTGGCCGGCGGCCGCTTTTGAGCCGCTGGTTTGTCATGGTTCGTGTGATAGATGAAGGAAGTCAGTTCTCCATCGTGCGTGGCTTGGATTGTAAGACTGGAACACCTTGCGCTGGATTTTTACGTCTTCCTTTTTTTCAGTCAGGAGACCTTTCTCAGATTTTATTTTATTCGAGTGCAATTGTCGTTTTTTTCGTGGGATTCAAGCCCTTTTTGTGAAATCATTTTTGGAATTTCTTTCTATTTTTTTTTTCAGAATTACCAGAATTAAATAAAAATCTGATGAAAATGTTTTTGCACTTCTTTCATTTCACCCGTTGTATGGCCTCTTCTGTTCACAAGAATCAGTGAGGCCGCGTGACGAGACGAGACCATGGTCTCGTTGTCAGGAAACCATTCTCTCATCTCGTCTCGTATCGAAATATGAGAATTTCTTTTCTCGTCTTGTCGAGAATTGAGAAATTCTTTCGTCTGGTTTGTCTCGTCTCGTTTCTGTCATTGTCTCGAATGACTCTTCTCGTCTCGTCTGGTTTGTCTCGTCTTGTCTCGTTTGTCTCGTTTCTGTCATTGCTCGAATGACTTTTCTCGTCTCGTCCCATTATGTCTCTCGTCTCGTTTATCTTGTCTCGTCTCTGTTATTGTCTCGTCTCGTTTCGTTTCGTCATGTCTCTCATCTTGTCTCATCTCGTCTCGTCTCGTTTCTGTCATTGTCTCGAAAGACTCGTCTCGTCTCGTCATGTCTCTC